TGGCGGCGGGAGCCATGACTATGCCATTTGTATGCTTGGTTTTGAAGAGAATGACTACATCCACACCCTCCTCTTCTGTACCCATGCCTTCCATGTAGGGGTGGCAACGAGCCGAGCGTTTCATGAGCTGCTTGAGCTCGGCTTGTGAAAAGCTCTATTCGGCTCGGTTTCAGCCGAGCTAGAGCCTATTAGAGCTCGGCTCGTAAGGCTCATGATCTGGCTATCTAAAATTATAGAAAATAATATATATAATAAAAATATTATAATTATTAATTATTATAATTCTTAATATTTTAAATATAAAATAAAAAAATTATATATGATCTTAATTTTTATAATAAAATATTTTTATAAAATATAAAATGAGCTGAGCTTGAGCTTATGGACTTTTGACTCAAGCTGAGCTCGAGCTCAAGGTTCTGGGTTGAACCGAGCTCGAGCCTTGTAGAATAGTCTCGAGCCTAGCACTATTCGGCTTAGCTTCGAATCCACCCCTACTTCCATGTAGATTGCATTGAGATATGGCTCAGGTTCCATTAATGGCACTTAGAAACTGATGCACCAACGTCAAAGATCAGACCCATTGAAAAGCATCACCTCGAAGAAACTCACAATGGATTAGTTCTTCAAAATTTTTATCAATTGGGTTTTATTTTGAAAATTTGAAGAATAATGGAGGGTAAATTCAAAATTTCGTTTTTTTTTTTTTTTCGTTGTCAATTATCAGAAATAGTAGGGATACTTTAAGACAATATGTAAACAGTAAGGGTAGAGTTAATCAATTAACTAAACCATAAGGGTAGTTTAAGAAATTTGCCCTTTTGAATATAATATAATATTTTATTTTTTAGGTTTGGTTGACATAAAAAAAGTAAACCAAATATTATTCTCAAACAATAGAAAATTAAAATTTTACATTTTCTCATCCCATCCCATCCCACCCAAATCTTCCCATAAACCAAATAAAGCATTAAAAGATGATTTTTTTCCTGCTTTTCGATGCAACTTCTTACAAAATGTTTATCAATTAAACACTATCAGTGCCATAAAACTAAAAGAAGGTCCATAGACCATTCCTTCAAGTCTATATCTACCTAAACATATAGGAACCAAAGTTCTCATTGCTATTGGAGAGGGCATACTACTACTGTTAAATCAGGTCAGGGGCTCACTAAAGGCGCAACCCTAACAATTCTAATCATTATATGAGCTACATATGGTGCAACTTAAACTCAACACAACCTGGATTTATAACTTTGGGCTCAAATCTAATATCCACAACAAATCCCCTACCCTAGAGCCCCATTCAAAAGGTTACTTTTTGCTTCCTTCTACCTTAACCATCAACATCTGCATCACCATGAACTCGTTCCTCATCCTTGTGGGTTTTCTAGTCCTTTAGTTCTTGTAAAGTTACCTATGACCTATTCATAACTGATAAATAAATGGTGGGCCTGAAAATTACATCACAAGCCCTAGAGATGACCACATGGTCTCTTGCTTCCTTGGTGGGAAGTAACTATCCATGAATTGGTCCAAACAAAGATGGAATAAATGGAATAACTTGGGGAGTTGTTGTCAGTGGAAGTGTCGATAGTCTTTGCTACCAGGATACCTGCTCATGCTGCCAAATTTGGTTATAATTTAAAGTGGTCTTTTACATTGACCACAACTTTAAGCCATGGTGTGAATACAAGGAGTTAGTTTTAAGCCAAAATTAAAGTCAAGTCTAAGGTCTCTTCTCCTATGTTGCTTCCATAGATTACAAGCCATGGTTTTTATTCACTTCTAGAGAGAAAAAAACATGCTATATATATGCATGCAGAAAAGTTAAATGCTATTAAAAGATTCAAATTATTGTGTAGATTACTAAGATGCACTTTAATATAGTGGAATAGAAAGTTCATATTCTTCAGTCATTGATAAACAATTTGTTGKACAATACTCGACACAGTTACCACAAAATATACAGATTCCAAAATCAATACTGTAATTAAGCAATCGTTTCTTTYGAATATCAGTTTCCAATCTCCAATCAACAAAGTCAGAATGTCAGTTTAGTTTAAGTCATTAGGAGCATATTTACATAAATATTTTGACAACTGTTCAAACTGGTTTTTAATATTCTTCAAGAGTAGGTAGGGGGTATTTTAAGGTTGCGTTTGATTGCAATGCAAATGCAAATATGTACATTTATATATTTACTCTCTTTTCGGTTCATGAATGCAAATATGTACATAGTTTAGATTTTAAACCGTTTTTGCACTCATCTTGTTTGTTTGAAATTAGTGCTAAGTGTGGGCCTCATCTTTAAATGCTCCAACTACCTTATACTCCAATGGCTTAACTTTGATTAAAAGGTTGATTATCAAAAAGAACACAAAATTGTATCCAAAAAATAGGTACAATAATGCTCTCTTAATTTTCAGAGTGCAAAAATGTAGAGAATACATTTTTTATCTGATAATCATTACTTTTTTACATGCCAAAAAAACGCTCACAAATGCAAATCGTAGTATATAAATACCCCGGTTCGGTGTACCACAAACAAATGGAGCCTAAAGGACATATGCCAAAAACTTTTCCAAGTGCTCAATGAATGTACTTACAATGTCATGCCTACCTGATCCGGACTGGTTGAAAATACATGATACCAGGAAGGATTTGACCAACCAAAACCCTCACGAGTTTTGATGAAAACCCGTCTGATTAATTACCACTTTTATGATGCCAATTAATTGGTTATAAGTTTTTTCGGTATCATGCCTTAATGACATCATAGTCCATTTAAGTGAGAATTCACCATTTAAGTGAAAAAAATATCAAATTGACTCAAGATACATCAGAAGTATCCCTAATTGAGGGATTATTTCTTAATTACTATAAGTTTATAATCATTAATTTGTTATAACCCAGTTGTGTCCACTGGTTGGTAGCATGGGCCGAAACCAAGGGATACAACTAGATTGTACTGTATCTAACACTAGATTTTTCTCATAAATTAATGAAGTTCTTGTTAATGATAACAAAGTTGTGTCAAAATCCCATTATCTCAACTAATTATATGTTTTTTTTTTTATAATTGATGATTACATGGTACCAAAGTAATACCAGTAGTGTGCATTGATATGTTTGTGCATTCTATTTCTTCATAATAACTTAAAATAAGTCAACAAGTTCTATTGATGTTAATAAAAAATCACTGTCCAAAACCTAGGTGATTGTACATACATACTAATGCTTTGACTGTTGTATTTTTTGCTTAAGCACAAGCCTAGCATCTTACAAGTTGACTTATAATTAATCTCCCTTTCTGTTGGTTAGTGTTTTTTTTTAAGCCCTAGTACTGGGTTAGTTGATCATTTATGCATTGTTAGAAATTTCCGCTCTTTAATTTTTTCTATTTAGTCTTTATTTTTTATTGTTTATTCTTTAAATTGTTAAATGTTTAAGTTTTTTATTTTAGATTTGAAAATTTAAGGTTAATTTTTTTAATTTTGATATTTTTTATGTAATTTTTCTTTATTTTTTTAAATTTCAAATATTTTTTGGGATGACCCGAATTGACCCATTGGTTAACCCTAACTCGAACATTTAGGGTTAGGGTCTAGCATTTGACAACCCAACCCGAAATTCAACATGACCCGAATCTACCTGAAATACCTTGACCCAACCCAAACCCAAACCCGACCCACCAACCCAATTGCCAGGTCTAGCCATACCTAATAGATGTTGCAGTTACACTGGGTTCAACCTACCTCTCTCTTGGGTAGTGATGCTGAGTGACAAAGTTTTAGAAATCAATAAAATCTCTAGGATTTTTTCTTTCTTTTCTTTTTTTTTTTTAATTTTGTATTGTTATGAATAATTTCATTTTTTTTATCAATATGAGCTTTGCATAATCCCTTACAACCTTGCATTAGGAATATCTCTACACGAAAAATAACATACAAGTACAGAAATATTCCCAATATGTGCGAAAGGTGTGAGCATGGTCTTGTGAGCACTTAAGTAGATCTCTCCCAAATTAATGTAGTTTCCAATTTTCTCCTTTATAACTCATTTGCATGACTTCTATTACAATTCCTATGAGTATTGATTAATGGAATTTGCCTTTCTTTTGATAAGGCATAAATGGAATTTGTCTTAATGGCTTAAAAAACCAAACGGCTTTCAACTTTTTGTCCCTAGATAAGGGCCCATTTGATTTTCAGTTGGAATTGGAATGGTCTATTTTTCTTACGTGTTTGGTTCAGACTGAAATTAGAATCAATTGGAGTAGATTTCATTCCTAAGAGAGGGAAGAAAATGGCCATTCCCCAAATGAGAGAATACCATTCCAACAAAAATGAGAATGAAATTCCGATTCCGCACAACCAATTCCGAATCCAGGCCCCTATTCCCTCGAACCAAACGGACTCTAAGATCGCTTGGTCCAGGTTTGCTAATGGTGAATTCTCTCTGTGGGCTTTGCATGCCATCAGGCCCATACCATGTGGATGCTTGGTGGTTCTCATTGTTTTGTTTGTCTCTGTTGATGTTCACCTTCAATCTAACGGCTGAGATCTCGTCCGGGACGTGCTTTGCGCATGAAATATAGGACGAGCCTACCTTTGTAGATCGACGCTAGCTACTTAGAAGGACTTATTAGGGTTCAACTGTAGCTGTCGATCGATGAGTGGGGCCCGTACAGAGGAGTGCTCCACATTATTATGTGCTCTACAAGTCGCATCGGATATATTCTCAGACTGAAATCCTGCTTCGCAAAATGGGAAATTCATAGCTATTAGTTGTTGCACACTTGAACTCCAGTCTTTCTGTGTATTTTCAGGCCATTTCTCGGCGTCGCCGGCGTAGCAGTATCTTCTCTGCTCCGGTGGATTCCCGCCGTCTCCGGTTCCGCCACTTCACCCAATCAAAACAGTTAGACGCGATTAGATTCGGTACATCGTTGCTGAATAGATCCGCTTCTCTTCGTTTCTCAGGTAAAAAGTAAAATTCCAGATTGCGAGAAGCAGCCCTTGAAGTTTTCTTCTCTCCTTCATTATTTATCTGGTTAACCTCAAATCATTTTTTTTCCACTGTGATTTCTTTTCTCCTTTTTGTTTAATCAACCTTTCATTCTCTCTTTCTCTCTGATTCTGGCCTATTTAGGGTTTAATGGATTTTGCATTCTTTTTTAGATTTTTTTTTGAGTAAGCCGAGAAGTATGCCATGTGAAATTTCCGTCTGCGCCTTTGATTAATGAAAGAAGGTGGTTGGCTATATATATTGAGAAGAGTTATTTCTTAGAAGATTTTGTGCCGTTGCATATTGGGATGTATATGTGGATTGATCTCTCGACGAAGTTAGCGCTTTTGTTTACAAACTCACTGCCATAACCCATAACTATTGATCTTATTCTCACGGTATGAATTCCATAATGGAGTTTTGGTTTATTAAATTCGGGGACTACTTGCAGGTGGATTAGTATGGAAATGTTAAAGTTACTACGAAATTGAATATTGTAGCTCTTTTGGTGATTCTACAGCGTATATTGTGGATGGTTGCCTTGGTTGAGCAAATTTAACCCATCACAGTAGCGACACATGTTGTGGTACAATTGCGACATATCACTGGCAGTAGATTCAAGTACAGTCTAGAGAACATTATTAGGTGGCCACCTGTTCGCATGACAACAAGAATATGGAACAGTCATGCTATGGCTCCCAAATACCAGCTATGTTACTGTTTAAAGTTTGGCAAGTTGGTCTTATGGTTACATTTTCTTTTCTGAACATTCTGCATGTTCATCCCTTTACACTCTTAAGTCTGACGCATTTATAGTGCTAGTGGGTCATCAACATTGTCTCATATTTCCTCATCTTGATGGCATTTCGGGATAATCTATTCTGTTCCTACGGCTGCGTTTGGAAGCGATGTAAAAGTTCATCAATGAGGTTTTACACCTAACCGCAAAAAAAATACCATTGAGCTTCTAAAAGCGTGGAGAAAAGCATGGTGTTTTTACATCGATTTAATTGATGTAGTGTTTACATTGATAATCGATGTAAAACTTTACCTTTGATGAGGTTTTACATCTATTTACAACGTAAACTCCACTCCATCCAAACACTAACAAATCTAAACGGGAGTGGAGTTTTCATCGATCTTGTTTTACACTCCATCCAAACGACAACAAAACCGAACTGGCGTAAACTTTTACATTGATGACGTTTTACATCGCTTCCAAATGCAGCCTACATGCTTGATTTGTTTATTGCCTTTTCTTGTTTGTTTTTTTACTCGGATACTATACAGTATACTTTTGAAATTTGACTTCTCAAAGGTAGGTTAATGTTTTGGTTGGATTCTCATCTCCTCCCTCTCTACCAATGACTGCGTTTGCTAGCAGCACTTCATTTCTTTATGGTTGTGTTGTAATTTTAGTTTAGTAATATTTTTGGGTCCTAAGACCCTGCATTGGCGGGAGCCTCATGCACTGGGCTGCCCTTTTTAATATTTTTGGGTCCTAAGAAGCCATCATGCTTTGCTTGTGGAAAAATCTTAGTCTACTTTTTCCCCGTTACCAATCTTTATTTCCTACATTTACAATTCTCTATATAAAAGTAGTAGGATTTTAAAACAAAGGCTGCTAAGGCTATTAATATGCTAGAATATGGGTTTAAGAAAAACAATGGTGATGTTGGTTATTCAACCATTTTTCATGACTTAACCATAACGTTCTTTCTAAGAAAATCTATTTGGATTATATGAGTATATTCTTATATCTACCTTATCTATAAATATCCTCTGCCTGTGCAGGTTGAGAAAGCGCAATTGATGGAGATGACATCATCAGAAAATTCACAAGCCTCATCATTTTCTTCCAATGCTGTCGATCAACACCAAGAAAATCTGGATCAACAGATCTTAAATCATGGGTACATGCTACTTTTTGGTGGTTGTTATTTCTTCTACCCCTTTATTTCTTTTGTACTGTCACTGGATTTAAATTCAAAATGATTCTCTGAATCCTTGCTTGTCATGTGTAATAATTTAATACTGTGGAAGGATTATCTGTAATGCACAATGCTTTCATTATAAGAAAATCTACATAAAGAAGTTTGTTTGTGACGCTTCTTGGAAATGAATATGAATGCTACAATTTTCTATTGGCTACACGTGCTTGTTTAGCCTATATAAGTCCCCCCCCCCCCAAAAAAAAAAAAACCAGATATGCCTACCGTAAATTGATGCAATGAAAGCTTAATACAAATGGTATACAAATATTAATCAAAATTAAAGGGGATGTGCCCTTTCTTATTCTCCTTTTTTTATTGCATATTTTCAACATTTTTTTAAAGCAAACCTTTAAATGGTACTATATTTTAACCAGATGCCTTCAGTGTTTTAGACTGATGTGATAGTTCCTCAAAGTTGTTTTAATCCCTGGCATGTTTTGTCAACTTTCAGTGATGCTGAAAGGAAGCATGAGATCAGTGTTGAAGAAGTTAGATCCATACTGGAAGTAATTGCAGCAACAGGAAAGTTTTGGTATGTTGTCATATTCTCTAATTCATGTTTTGAATCTTGGTACTTCGATATGTGCTGCTTGCCTGCAGATAATTGACTCACTGTTTGGAGTTCTAATGTTGGTTTGCATAGTCAAGGGGGCATATCCATTTAGACATGTATTAGTACTTCATGTTCCATAAGAGTGGGCTTGGTTGGTGTACCATGTGAAAGTGCCGCCGCTTCACCATAATCAGTTTGTTTGGAGAGATTTAACCATATGCGCTGCCCCCTATTCCTGGCCAAAAAAGGAACATAAAAAAGAACACAAACTGCTATCTTGCATTTCTAGGCGTCTGAGAAGTATAATTGGTCATGTAGTTGTGATTGCTTTCCTGATTTTTGGTCAAAGAAATGTTCAAGATGTGACCTATATATTACAACAAAATTCGGCATTTATTAGATTTCTCACCATCTCACACAACTTTGTTTTGGATGATTGCATGCTAATATATAGGACTAGTATTTTGGCATCACTACATAAATAAATCAATAAAATTCAAATGCATTTCCCTGATTGGCTAATGTTTGTTTCCGTGGTCTGGTTTCTGATGTGGTACTTTGCACATGTAAGAAATGTCTTATCTGGTGGTAACCGATATGAAATTTAAACTAAAAATTGAAGTATCCAACACGATATGACGCCCTTGTACGGGTATCTAGGATTATAGACATAAGACATGGACAGGTTATATTGGCAGATATACTTTCCATAATATTTGTGTGTTATATATGTTTTCTAGGAATTTTTCTGATTTCTTAGTGGAAGTTCATTTTCAAATGTTTACATCAGACCTGGACTTGATGATGTCAGAAAGTACTTATGTTGCTTATTTTGTCTACCAGGCATGATTGGGATGTGTTAAAAAACTTGTTATCCTTTCAGTTGAAGCAGGTATGGGGAGGTATGCCAGCATGTAGTCTCTAGTTACTTTGTGAATGGCAAGGACATTAATGTGTGTCTAAACAAATTGTCTCAGTTATTCGAATTCTTAGTTTCAATTTTCAAATTGATGATAAAGGTCCTAGCAGAGTATCCTGAAGCAGAGATGTCTACTGATCAACAGAATTCTTCATTAGGAGAAACATACATAGAGTTGGTAAAAAGGCTGGATGAAGGTATTCATCATGCTGTTTTTTAACCATTTATGTGATGCTCTAAGGTATATCATATGCATTTTGTTGGATTAATTTTGAAATATAACTGTATTAAGGGGTTAAGGGCAATTTAGTACATACATGCCTTTTCTAAGTGGCCATAAAGCATGATAGGATGTTATCACACCATTACATTTACATGTTTGTTGTGTGTACTACTACTTTGTCATTGCTACATCCCTCTTTTTTTTTTTTCTCCATATTACTTTCTTTAGCTTGTTAAATAACTTATCTTGAATTATCAATTGGGTTTGAGCTTCCTAGTATATACAAGCACAAAAAACTTATTTTTTAATCTCATTTTGTTGTTTTTGTATTTCAAAATGATTATATTTTCACATTTTATTCTGAGCCCATCCATGTGCTGCTTGTTTTGTGAATTGCATCTTCTTCTTCTTCTTCTTCCTTTTTCCACATCTATGATAAATGGACTTGGTCATTTAGTATGGTTTGAGTTGAGCTAAATGATATAGAGCTTCATTTGATATTCAGAGTTTTGTTGGGCTTGGGACACAGTAGAATCATGTGCTCACTGTGTGACCTTGAGCTTTTGGATATGGGCATATGTTACTGTAACAATGTAATTTTTGAAAATTTAAATTATTTCTTCATGCAAGATTACTACAATTTTGTGGTTAGCATAGAAAAAAGTGCTTGTCTTGGATATTTCTGGATGAGAAAATTTGGAGTAGACTAGTGCCACTAAAAATTAGGACTTTCTGTTGGGAGGTGTACCAAGGTTCAAAATATCGATACACCCGATATGCCCCTATCGGCGTATTGGGCGATATCAATACTGTTTTTTGTACTTTTTTTTTTATTTTTTCCAAAACCGGTTCAGGGGGCCGGTTTAAGGCTCCTCCACCCCCTGAACCGATCAGAACCCTGATACACCCACTGTAAGGGCGTATCGGGGAGGTCCCGGAACGATACGTATCGGCCGATATGTGTTGATACTTTGAACCTTGAGGTGTACTAGTAAAAGATTAACACCTGTGAGATGTTGCAAAAAAGATCATACCTTTCAATTTGCAGCTAGTATTTGCAAGTGGCTCTTTGATTGTAGGTGGAGCGCCCCAGCTGATCTTGAATCCTTTAAAGCCTTTTCCTTTCTCTTATCAATGAAAAGAGGCAAACTGTAATCATGTAGTTGGGAGCCGATAAGCCCTTAGTTGGGAAGGGACACATGGGAGATTCTAAGCAGGGGGTCGATTCCAATAAGGTCGATAACTCCTTATTGAGAAAGGAATTGGAGAAGATTAAGGGCAGGACTCGTGTATTAAGAAAGAATTGAAATAATTTTAAGAGGCGTGGGGACCGTGACTTAGGTAAAGGTATATTGGGAATTTGAAGGCGGAGAATCGAGAAAAGATTTAATAGAAGGAGATGGGCAGCTTATAGGTTTCATAGGAAAGCTTGGAATGTTGGTTTGTTGGTGACTGATGCTTCTAATGTTTGAACACTTGGTCTTTTCTCGATCAATTGCGATGATTTTTTGATCTCGATCTCTAAGAAGCCTCCTCAAGGTAAGCTGGGCGAGGTCATGTCCAATGCTTTGGCGCTCGAACTTGTGGAAGGGAAGAAAGATCTGAGCCCTATTTCTTCGTGCTCGGAGGTAAGCTAGGAAAGTAGGGGTTTTGTTACTGGTTTCTTGGAGGGAATTCCGAAGAGGGAATTGAGAGTAAGGAACACGATAAAGCTAGGGTGGAGGTGGTGGTAGAGGAGGTGGACGACAAAACCAAGGAATGGGAGGAGGGAGGTGGCTTAATAGAAGTTGAGAGCAAGCAGGGTTTTGACTTAGATAGCTTAAGTCAAGATGCGTTTCATAGGATTGATGCTTGTTATTTGGTTTCTGAGGTGGTTGTTGGAAGATTAACAGTGGGTCGTAGGGACAAGGAATGGGTTAGATGCTTGTTATTAAGTTGACTTGGGCCGTAGGGACAAGGAGACGAGTGTGGTGGGAAGCAATGATGTTTCAGAGACCCCAAAGATGATCAAAACTTCAAGCAAGCTAAATGTGGTTCATGTTACGAAGGTCTTTTCAAGTCTAAAGGAGGGTTTGGTGGGAACTGGGCCAACAAATAAGTATAAAAGGATTTATAAAAGAAGAGGGGTTAAACTTAGATCTCTAGGCTTTGAGAACCCTGCCCGGAATCTTCCCTCTCATCCAAGGGGGTTAGAAAGAATTCTCTTAAGGTTGGCTCTTAATGGGAGGAGTCGAATAAGTCTGACTTGTCTGAAAAAGCTGTTAAGGATGAGTCTGCTTTGAAAGAGGTTTCTGTTAAGGTGATGTTGGAGGAAAAGGAAGTGGAGAAAGGTAGCATGGACATGAAGACACTAGTTGACAAAGAAGTGGAAATTGGTAAATCTTTGGGCTTGTTCTTAGGAGGCAGAGAACATTGTGTGAAGAGCCCTTGAAGCATACAAGAGGAAGAGGAAAGAAGAAAGCTTGAGAAAGGTCCCTGAAGAGTTAGGGGGAGAAATTTGGGATGAGGGAGGCTCAAAAGAGTTTGGTGAGGTGAAAGATTGACCTGTGCTTAGCATCTGCGTCGTTTTGTTGTTGCAATTGTTGTGTAAGAGTGGTGTTTTCTCTCCTTGTCTTTTGTTGTTCTTGGTGGTTGGTAGAAGTAGTTTGGGTTTTGGAGGTGTTATCTTAACAACTGTCTTTAGGTTGTATTCAGTTTTTTTTTTTTCGTTTGAATAAAATTTTATTTTTGCCTTAAAAGTGTATGGATGCACTAAAGCTGCATCATTATGGATGATATGGGAATAAGGGAATGCTAAACTAGTTAAGGAGAAAGAAAGAACTAGGGAAGCGATTATGAAAAGCATCCTAGTGAAAGTGGTATATCGGATCAAAACATTGAAGATCTTTGATCTCTTTTCTATTGAAGATAGAGGGTGGTGGTGACTACCTCTTTTTTTTTTTTTTTATCAGTAACAAAAAACTTTATTAATGATGTGAAGCTTTGTGAAACTTTAATTACAAAGTGGGGAGTTAAAATGTCTTAACTCTCCACCATCAGAATACATTGGAAGAAAGTTAAAAATTAGCCCAAAACAGAGTTAGCAAATGAGTTAGCAATTCTCTTCACCCAGCTGTATTGCACCTCAATGTCCCTACTCATTGTTATAGCTCCACAAACCGATGTCTTCTTCCTTTAGCCATCTAATCACCACCTTCGAGTCACCTTCAAGGACCAAACGCCTGATGTTCAGTTCTCTTGCTTTTTGGATTACTTCCAGAGCTGCAAGAATCTCAGCCCTAAGAGAGTCTCCTTCGCCAATTGGGCCTGAAAACATGGCAGTAATAATCCCATCCTCATTCCTGAACACTCCCCCAATCCCAGAAGGCCCTGGATTCTTTGAGCTACTACCATCAAAATTCAGTTTTATGAATCCAGAGGGAGGAGGGGACCAAGAGGGGCTAAGAGTCCTCTTACATTGGGCAGAGGTAGCTATCTCTTTCCAATTTCTTAACAAGTCAGCCACAGAATAAATTGAGAACTGCTCCATAGATTTCAGCTAGTGGGCTACCCTTAAAAGTATTAGATCTAATAAGTTTTCTAGGGTTCTTTCCTTGTCTGAAAAAATTCGTGAGTTTCTTTCTTCCCACAGGGACCAACACACTGCTGCCCTAATGCTTCTCCACATAATCTTCTCTCTTCTTAGGCCATCTGAAAAACGAAGGAGAAAAACTTTGGATGCTCATGGGGGATTCCAAATACACCCAAAGAGGGAGAAAGCCCACTAACATACAGTTTTAGTGGTCGAACAAGTAACCGTAAGGTGGTAACCAGTTTCCCCATCAACGTTACAACGAGTACACCAATTAGGAAGTAAAAAAGAATTGGGTCTCTTTTTCTGAAGCAGGTCATTTGTGTTAAATCTTTCCAGGAAAGTTTCCCAACAAAAACTACCAACCCGAGGAAGAATGGGCTTGCTCCAAATTTCTTTAACCGGGAAGGACAACCCAAGAGGAACAGCAGGCTGAGTTCAGGTCTCAAAAAACGAAGCACAAGAGAAAGTACCTGAGGAGGAAGGGGTCCAAAATCTGATGTCCTTATTAGGGTCCAAGAAAACATTTTCAAGGATGGCTAACAGAGACAAAATGCAGCCTAAGTCTGTATCCCTAATTCCCCTTCTCAGGCCTAGGTTTCACCCAAAACCAGAAGTAGATTCTGAAGGACTTAAGAAAGATGAGATGAGTTCATTTTTCAAGTCTGACAGAGCAAACAAAGAGGGAAATTGGTCCATCAGAGGTGAGTCCCCAACCCAATGTTGTTCCCAAAATTTTATTCGATTACCTGAGTTAAGACCATACCTGATCCAAGGGGAGAAAACTGGAAGCAGATCATGGTGGTGACTACCTCTTTCCATGGGGCTACTGCTTCCTTGCATTGGATCGCGCCAAATGAAGGCTTTTTTGAACTAAATTTTGATGGCTGCAGTTTGGGAAATCTTGGAGCATTGGGCAATGGTGAGGAATTTTTAAAGATAATGGCGGATCCATATTGGTGGGGCCATTGGCCCATTGCTTGGTGTGATAGTACAACCTCAGGTTGACAAACATGAAAACACAGGTTTGTGTCTGAGAATAAGCTACTTTATACCAAAAAAGGGTGACCTTTTGGTGGATCCATATTGGCATTGTATTCAGGCTCTATAGGTAATGGAATTTCCCCAAGGACAGTTGTTAGCCATGCTGCAATGCCTAAGATAGGGAAGATCCTTAAATGTAAAGAAAAGAAAAGTGTAGTTGAGGGAGATTCAAAAGTTGTGGTAAACTTGATAACAAAGCAAACGAAGCTCATGTTAAAGAATTAAGAGCTCTAGCAATGGAATTGGAAGCTAGCTTTTAGTGGACCTATAGATGAGCTAACTTCCTTGTTGATGCCATGGCCAGACAAGGGGTAAATAGGGAACAATTGCTTTGGGCAATTTGTAATAAAGTACCATAATTTAAGGTAGGTGGCTTTTCCAAGTCTGATTACAGGGATGCTTGGCATTCTTTGTAATATATGTACTAATTCATTTCTTTTATCATCTAATAAAGCATCACACCAACTGTCAAAAATAAAGCATTAGAGAGAAGTGCTTTGGTCTTCTATGGGCTTGCAAGTTTTATTGTCTAGGGCTAGTCTTAGTCCATTAGTTTAAGCTTTTTGCATGCTTATATTTAATGTTTAAATGTAAATGGCATTTTTCTCCCCTTTATATTTCCCTTGGTTTGTCAATAAGTAATACATGTTAGTGTTCTATTTTGCAGCTCTTCTTAGCTTTGTAGAAGGTCCTCCATTTACCCTTCAGAGACTCTGTGAGGTGATTTCAACATTTGCACTCAATGCTATTTCTTCTCATATGGTTAAGAATTCAACAATAAATTTCACTATTATATACGATGCCATAAGTGTGATGTTGAAGTTGATTTAGGTTTTGAAATAGCATCTAGAATTTTTTTGACAAGTAAAATAAAATTTCATTAAAAGGAAAAAAAGGATGCAAACTAGGAGTCTGATAAGATATCACCAAACAATGGCAACAGAAACAAAACTACCCATCTTCAGATATCCAAAATACATATTTGTAAACCACCCTCTCCCATAAGCTTTCACCAGAGTCAACACACCTGACCAGAGAAAACTCTGAGAAGAAAGACGTAACCAAACTGCGACATAAAAACCAGTAGATACCATCAGCCTGATCTGCTTCCAATCCTTCACTTCAAAAGGTCTCTCTCCCTTTCCAACCGGATTAAAACAAAGCTTGAAACATATCCTTGAAGACAAAAAAGTTGAATCCACATGCCGTATCCCAAAAACTTTTTTGAATCAGTGGATATCCTTGAAACATAGCATCCAGAAAATTCATTTACACTTATCTGAATCAGCGGATATCTTTGCACATTTTTTCATCTTGTTTTTGTTCTCTTTTCCTTTTTTAGAGTTGCATTTTTAGTACTTTGAAGAGTTTCTGGATTTCTATCTGCTAGTCATCCTTTAGGCTTTAGCTTTCAGAAATTTTACACTTTTAATGTGATTGTACGAGTGAAATTATTTTTCCTTTTGTTTTGGTGTTGAGCAGATTCTCCTGGCTGCAAGAAGTATATATCCGAACCTCTCGAAACTTGCTCTAGCTTTAGAAAAGGTTTGTTAGCAGACAATTTTTTTCTTGGAGTGATTATTGTGGAATTATAGATTGGGAATTGTTTAACACACACAAGTAATGGCAACAGTATTGGCAATTTGAATCTAACTTCTGATCCTTCTTTTGATTATATGTTTTCCTTTCTCCAGAACTGAACATTAACACAATTCCTTGTGTTAAAGTGGCTGCTGGTTAACCAGTTTATGGGAAACAATCTTATAATATAAATAAAATGCTAGTGGTTACAATAGATTATTATCTTTTCCAAGAAGGGTAGTTGTAGCTTTGATAATGCCCCTTGGGACTTTATTTTGATATTGTTTCCATTTTTCCTTGCCAACAGGAGTTGGTACTTTTCAATTACTTTTAACTCCCTGAAGGAATGCCTTTTGTGGCACCCTGCATGCCTTTATAGCCATAATGTAAGCAAATTGGTACTTTTCCTTCCCGACGTATTACAAGTCATGGATCTTTATGGATCCTTTGGCCTGGTACTCTGTTTTGGAAAATTTAGTTGAAGGGAAAATATGTATGCTAGATTAAGTATTTGGTTTCAGTCAATTCCACAAGCAAGTCATGAACTGGCATAATTCATTTTCATCCCATTGCCAAGTATATCTTAAGATGATGGCGGATGGGGGAATAAACATGCTTCAGTGTCAATTCATAGACTCTGGCCTGATGGGTAGAATATGCCTTGCCTCTTCTATATTCTATTTCAACAGTAATATATCAATAATTATGCTATCCATGTTTATAAACGCATACCTCATGTGGTAGCTTTCTTTTATCCTCAAAGTGCATACCATCAAATTGCCCATGTGCCTCTTATTTAGAATTTTTTTTAGCTGCAGCCTTGTTGATCTAATTGATTTGGGGAAAATCTTGTTGATCAAAATCATTGCCAGCCGATGCCATTTGTAATGTCCATCTAAATTACCATGATCAATTTTTACTCCAATATTCTTCATCACAACTAGTTCCTTCAGAACTGTCAATGCTTTTGAAAAAAATTTCAATCTTGTGTGCTTGAGCTGGTGATTTGGCAATGCAATTCTGAATTGTCTTAATACATTGAGAAGAAGGTGCAGAACTGCGGATTTCTGTACATATCAGAGTTCAGACATTATGTCATGTTGTTTCTGAGGTGTCGTGAACATCATGAAATCATGCACCTTGGTAAATTTGTGATAGATCTATAATTTGCACATAGGACAGGCAGCATTTATCACAATTTATCTTGCTATACAGTATTTTTTTTTGCTTATAACGTTCAAGTTTCATCTTTATGTAAAAGGATTACATTGTTAACAAGGCATTACCCAATGTTGCTTCCCCTATCTGGGGACTTGAGAGTTGGGAGATGTAGACTGGATAATGGAACTAACCAGTAACTTTGAGCGTTTGCTGCATATAGTCTCAGCCTACCTGCATCATCAGGTCATTTGGTCAGTTTCCCTATGGCTGTGTTTGGCTTGAAAGAGAAGGTAGGGAAACCTGTACAAGCTTTGTATAGATTTCCCTTCCTTTCCCTACATTTTCATTTAAACCAAACACAGCCTAAATTTTCCACCAAAAAAAAAAAACAGCCTAAATGAATCAGAAATTTATTTTGGGGCTAAATTTCTATATCTAGTTTTCAAAATAAGATTTTTTTATGGGCAACATATTATATTAAGAAAAGTTGAAAGCTTATATAATTATATTTGGTTGGCCAATGCTATATTGCAAGGGTTGTGTATAGGGCTAATGTGGACTCTGGATTGGATAGATGGTTGATTCAGTAGGTCTTTCTGCTAGGCCATCAATTGTCTCGCAATTCTTCCGTGTGGCAAAAATAGTTGGGGTCATGTAGGGGATTGCCTTATTTGACCTGATTCATCATTATCATCATCATCATAATCATCTAAGCCTTGAAGCCTTGTCCCATCTATATGGGGTCGGCTATATGATTCTTGTTTTACCATTCCATTCTGTTTAGTGTCATATTCATTGTGAAATTAGGAGCGCTGAACTCATTTATTTATTACTAAAACCCATGTTCTTTTTTGTCTGCCCTAGCCCATTAGCCCTTTCAAATCGCAAAAGAATGCTTTTTCTTATAGGGTACTGTAGATGGTCTTCTATGCATGTGATCAAACCATCTTACTCTATTCTCTCTCATTTGACTTTATTATGAAACCTATTTGTATACAACACCATCACCCACCACACACACTTTGCATTCTGGGTTAACATCATATATGATTTCTTCTTCTGTGTTGCAGAATTTACTGGTGACCTCAACTCTATCAATTTCTACCGATCCATATCCATCAACGATTACACAAAAATCTGAAGAACCTGAAGGAGGAATCGAAGGGAGCCAACCGCATTCCAACCAAATCCAAAATGGGGTTCAAGTTATGGTAGGTAGTGAGGATGAAGAAATGGCAGAGGCTGAGGAGGCTGATGAAGATAATAAGAACACTGACGTGGAGCCAGCAGAAGAGATGATCCAAGGAACATCTGAAAACAGTAGTGAGCCAAACACTGAATCTGAGCCAACTAGCGAGTCTTCAATGCCGCCAAGTGGACATCTCGACTCTACGAGCTCCTAGACATTCATTTTCCCATTTTCAGGCAAGATGGAATAGCCCAGGCTATATTTCTCTAGAGCCATGGGTTGGCCCGTGTGGCGTGATAATGGGTTTGTTCAGTCAGAAAACTTGGAACTGCTAGGGATGATGGGCTCTTCCACAATAGCCAATTCTATATTTATACCGAGAAAGAATCAATTGAGCCCTTGGCATCAGTAGCATAATATCGCAGAAGGCGAAAGAATATGCATCGCGTTCTCATTGACATTTGGTGAGGTTTACATTTAAGCTCAAAATAGTCACCTCAACAAACAAACCCTAGGTTGTGTTAATCTTTTCCTAAACCGGGACTGTTTTTAGACTAGTGATAAAAAGAAGCGTTATTCAAAGTTGAATTCAGGTGGGATTGGACTAGAGAGATGTAGGCCATTGAATAGTTTTTTTTTAATCGGAATTACTCTTCGTTTCACTATTCTAATAAGAAAGGGGGAGTTGTAATTCATTTTTCAGTTAGTTAAAGTGTGAAATACCGTCAAAGATTGTGAGCGCTGCACCCGAAGCTATTCTGACTTCTGAGTATTAGCACCTGTTCAAATTTCATTTGAATGCTTATCCTACTGTTGTTTATCATCCTTTTTCTGATATTCAGTGAAAGTATGCTATTGGTAATCCATGCATCTTGTTCAGTGAAAGTATGCTATTGGTAATCCATGCATCCAATGGGGTACGGTTGGAAGACATGCTGAACGGATTCAATTTAGTTTAGTTTTCCATAGCATTTGAATTTTGAAGCACTAGGGTTTCTTTGGTTTGCAGTCAGGATTGGAATCAGTATCACTCAGAACCGGAATGGTTGGTCTATTTCCTTGCCTGTTTGGTTTAAATGAGAATGAGGGAATGTCATTTCACAAATAGATGATGATTTTGCTCAATCAAACAGTTGAAATTGGAAGGGCCATTCTAGACCCCTTTTCCTATAAACCAAATGGAGTCAATGGACCCTAAAAGTTCACTTCCAAGTACAAAGTTTTTAAAACTAGTTTAACATTTAGAGTGGTTTTCGTTCAAAACTCTCGATATTATTTAGTTTGAAGTAGAGCTGTCAGCTGTATTTAATTACAATTTACAAATAAAATGAAAACAAAAAATAAATAATGATTAATTTCCACTTTCCAGAAAAAAAAGTATATTGTTTTCCAAAGTTCTGTGGTTAAACTTGGAATAGACATGTAAAATCTAAATGGTTGGTACCGGGGAAACATGCTTCAAGAATCCAGTCAAGATTAGAGGGGATAAATAAATGTTGCATTGGGAAAATGTCTCCTAACTTACGAGTCCAAAGTCCTACCCCACCAAAAAAAAAAAAAAAGAGGAAAGAAGAAAACGTCTCTCCTAACTAGCGTGTGATCAAACACCTGATCATACCATGTTTTTTGCTGTCTAAATGAACCATACCAACCAACACAGCTGGTAATGCCCGTCGAAGTTATTCATGACTGCCACTGGGGAAGAATTGGCGCATAAAAAGTGCTCGGCAAAATGGATTATTGTAACAAGTGCCCTTCCCCTCACGAGATAAGTACTCAGTTTTTAGTGGCACTTATTCCAACAAATGGATAATGGTAATTAATTATACACTCAGACTCGGTTTTTAGATTTTACTTTACATGTTCTACATGGCTTTCAATGTTGAATCATTTGTGACAACAGAAGAGAATGTTTATAAATTTCTTGTGATAACTATTTCTCTTATCTGAGTACTTCATACATGATTTTCCAGTTGGGATGCCAAAAACTTTGGGATGAAAAGCAGTAAGGCATATAATGAACCTAACTATTAGAAGCCTGAATACTCTCCAAGAGATACTCAATTCTGTACTTCATGACAGGCTGACCTGACCGTGTTTTCTTGAACATCTTCTCCCTTAGAGTCTTTCTACGAGCTTGGACTCTTTCTCTCTCTTCCTTCTTTGCCTGAATAATTGCTTCTCTCTCCATCCTTGCCTTCTCTTCCTCCTCATGTTTCTTCTTGTATAGCTCTTCTAAACCCTGTGATTTATTCTTCTGCTTCTTAATTGTCTTGATACCATCTCCAGTTTCATTGTGGCCCTGTAATGGCAAATACAAAATAATTTCCTTCTGACTGTCAAACAGTACAAACTAATCCACACTCAATAGGTGTACATGTTATTGCAGATAACGAGCAGTATGGCAATAATGAACTGGAGATACTTCACTTTCAGTAGTTCCTCTCCTGTTATATTCTTGGATTATGTAAAAATGGTATTCAAGCTCTTACTTTTGCAATCCTAGCTTCTGGCTTGTTAACCCAAGAGTTATCATTGACTAGACATCTACATTTTTTGGTTCATTCCAGAACAGTGCATGTGAAACCATACAGATTTTGGAAAGCAACACACTAGATATGAGCATGGTTTAGAATGCTGACATATTTCTTGATTTTTCCATGACATGCTTTACTGGCACAAAACATTACCAAACTATTTCCTAAAATATTCGTCAATGCTTTAATATCTTCTGTATTGTTTTCAACAGATTTTACTTTGTTAATCAGATGAATATAATGTTTTCAATTTACATTTACATAGATATCCAAATAATTTGCTTCGATATGATCCTTTTCTCTTTAAAACCATTCCTAATTCAAGTTTATCATTATAAATGACTCTTTCCTTCGTATTTTCCTTTATAAAATATTCTTAGTCATAAATAGTTTAATAAAAATAGTCAATGCTTTAATATTTTTAATATTTTAAACTGTTTTGGAAGGTAAAAACATAATAGCATAATAAGCATATTTATATATAAATCATTACTCTTATCACACAGTTATAATGCCAGCAATATGGAGCAAACTGTTGGGTAATAAAAAGTGTCTAAAAATGAGTATGGCAAAATGCAAATGTTAAGATTGATGAGTAGAAATACTAGAAAGGATAATATCAGAAATGAGCCTAGTTGAAAGAACCTAGGAGTGTCTCTAATAGGTGATAAAATGAGGAGAAGTAAACTATGTTGGGTTGGGCATGTATAGAAAAGGCCACCAATGTGGAGCAAAGTGTTGGGCAATCAAAAAACATGTCTAAAAAATGAGTATGGAAAAAATGCAAAAATTAAGATGGATGAATAGAAATACTAGAAAGGATAGTATCAGAAATGAACCTATCCGAAAGAACCTAGATAGGTGATAAAACAAGGAAAAGGTGGGGATGGGGCAAGAGATGGCAGTGGAGACAGGGAAGGTCGGGAGGGTGAGGAAGAAGTAAAAGGAAATAAAAGAATTCTGGAAATTCTTGAATGCCTGTTAAAGGAAGTAGTTGGGAGCAATAAACAGAAGGAAGGGCCAGAGGTAATTAGAATAGAAGAAATTAAGGAGAATGGGGACAAAGGTGAGGAAACAGAACAAGGAGGGAGGAATAAAAAGTCAAAAGAAAGAGAGTTGACTAGTGAGGATTCTGTGGCAGCTTTTGTGCAGAAGTTGGGATGTAAAGTGAAAAATCCAAATGACTTAAAAATGTTTCTACAATTTTTATAATCTAATAAAGCATTCTGTTATTGATAAAAAAAAAGTTTCTACAAAAAAAAGGGAGAAGAAACTAAGGCTAAAAGGAAAAAAAAATTAAGTGAAGTGGAAAGATTGATGAAGGATGTGGAAGGAGGTAGTAGTCTTGGTGTTAAAAGGGACAGGAGGAAAGGGAATAAGTGAGGGTAAGAGGAATATGGGGTCAAGAGTACAGCGGAATGAAGATCATAAGTTGGAATGTCAGAGGGCTAGGAAATGCTAGGAAGAGAGCAGTAATAAAAGAGGCCATTAAGAAAATAGACCTGGATGTAGTTCTCTTGCGGGAGACTAAAAGAGCAGATTTTGATATCAAATGGGTAAGAAGTGTTTGGAGAGGTAGGGGGATTAATTGGGCATTTCTGCCCTCATGGGGGTCTGCAAGGGGTGTTGTGACAATGTGGAAGAAAGAAGTACTGGAGGGTAAGGAGGAGCTGATAGGCCAATTTTCAGTTTCCCTGAAGTTTAGACAGGTGGAGGATGGGTTTGAATGAGTGTTAACCAATGCCTATGGACCGAATGACTATAGAGAGAGGAGGCAACTATGGGAAGAATTGGCTGATATAAGGGGTTTGTGGGAAGGACCTTGGTGTTTAGGAGGTGACTTCAATGTAATCAGATTCTTGGAAGAAACAAATAGTACTAGGCAGAGGTCAACCATGAGCATGAGAAAATTTAATCAATTTGTCGATGCCTATGGACTTAAGGAAATCCCATTGTCGCATAGCTGTTTTACCTGGTCCAATCTCCAAGTGAACCCAATCTGTTCCAAGTTGGACAGGTTCTTGTTTTCAAATGATTGGGAAGAACATGGGGGAAGTTTGAATTCTAGAACACTCCCAAGGGTGACATCCGATCACTGGCCTATAGTAATTTGTAAGGAGGAGATGAGAAATGCAAGCACCACCCCTTTTAGATTTGAAAACATATGGCTTGAACACCCAGGTTTTATTAAGAAGGTCAAAGATTTGTGGCTTGAGAGTTGAGAGTAATCCAACAGCGAAATGGAGTGGAATGAGGTTTCATAAAAAACTCCAACATCTGAAGGGTAGAATCAAGGAGTGGAATCTGTTAGAGTTTGGGAGACTAGTGGAAAAGAAACAAATGGTGACTGCTCAAAATGAGGCATTGGCTAGTAAGGAAGGGAGGGGATGTTTTATAGAAGAGGATAAAGAGCAGAAATGGAATCTGTGTAAACAATTAGAGGGCTGTCTTTTGCAGGAGGAAATAGGTTGGAGACAAAAGTCAAGGTGCAAGTGGTTGAAAGAGGGGGATAAAAATACCAAGTTTTTTCATGCAATGGCAAATGGAAGGAGTTGAAAGAATTATATCTCAAGTTTGGAGATTGAAGGGGCAACAATTTTCAATCAAAGTGAAATTGCAGGGGCTTTTGCAAATCATTTTAGGTCTATCTTTAGAAGACCCCTAAACAATAGGGTTTGGATTGAAGGATTGGAATGGCCTACACTGAAGTTGGAAGAAAAGGAATGGCAGGAAAGGAAATTTGATTTGGAAGAAATAAAGGAGGCAGTGTTCTCTATGAACAGATCAAAGGCACCAGGCCCTGATAGTTTTACGATGGCTTTTTATCAGGATTGTTGGGAGATTTTAAAAGAGGACCTAAGGATAGTGTTTGATAAATTTTATTCTCGAGGATGATAAACCTGGGGCTAAATTCCACATTCAGTGCCTTGGTTCCCAAGAAAAGGAATGCAAGTCACCCAAGGGACTAGGCCGATCAGCTTGGTAAACAACCTTTGTAAGATCATCACTAAGATGCTGTCCATTAGAATTAGAAAAGTGCTCCCAGCAATCATAGCAAACAACCAATGAGCTTTTGTGAAAGGGAGGCAGATAACCGATCAAATACTTGTTGCAAATGAGAGTTTGGAGGAGTTCAAGAGATCCAAGAAAAAAGGGGTGGTTTGCAAACTAGACTTGGAAAAAGCTTATGATATGGTGGATTGGTCTTTCTTGTTGGAGGTGATGGTCAACTTTGGGTTTGGAGACAAGTGGTGTAAGTGGGTGATGGGATGCATCAAGAAATGCCATTATTCCATTTTGATAAATGGGACAGTGGTGGATTCCTTTCCAACTTTGAGAGGAATAAGACAAGGAGATCCTCTTTCCCCATTATTATTCCCGATGGTTGCAGAGGTTTTGGGGAGATTAATTTCTAGAGCAGACTCTAGGGGCTTAATAAGAGGATGGAGAGTTGGAAGGGAGAATGTGCCACTCACTCATTTGCAATTTGCAGATGACACAATACTTTTCTGTGAATGAGGGGACCTAAATAGGATAAGAAACCTAAAGCTCACTATACAACTCTTTGAGCAAATGTCAAACCTTAAGGTGAATTTTGAGAAGAGCTGTCTAGTGGGGGTAAATATGGGGGAGAGGGAGATATTGGAGTGTACAGACATCTTGGAGTGTGCAGTTTCTAATTGGCCCCTAAATTACCTTGGTTTGCCATTGGGAGATAACCCTCAAAAAGATGAATTTTGGAGTCCGATTGTGGGGAGATTTGAAAAGAGACTTGCAACTTGGAAGAACTATTTGTCTCTTGGTGGGAGAATCACTTTAATTAGGTCTACCCTAGCTAACCTTCCTATTTACTTTCTATCAGTCTTTAAGATTCCAGCTAAGGTGGCTAGCAGGTTAGAAAAACAAATGAGAGATTTCCTTTGGGAGCCGGGGGAGGAGAAGAAGGACCATAGGGTTAGGTGGGAGCAGTGATTTAAAAGGTAAGCCTAGGTGCATTTTAGGGTAGGCGCCTCGCCCAGGTCCTAGGTGCAACCCGTTCAAAAGCGCATGCCTGGTGCGCCTAGGCGTGCGCCCAGGCATGTGCCTTTTGAAAATTTGCCGCTTTTTCCTATTTTTTGAGTTTGGCGGCTAGGCCAGGAGCTCTGCCCCCAGACCCCCGTGCCACGCCCTTCAAGGCAAGCCCAAACAAGTCCATGTTAGGGTCTTAAATTCTTAGTTTTCACATAAAAAGTAATAATTTTATAGTTTTAATTGCTTTTAAGAAGATATTTTATTAGGATGAATGAATGGACAACATTACCAAATAGGGGATTCTTGAAGCTCCGGTCTTGTTTGGGCTTGCCTCGAGGGGTGTGGCACAAAGGTGGCTTGTAGAATTAGGAATGTAATGTCACATTAGCTACTTGATGCAATTGAGAAAAAAAAGAGATTGTGGGTTTTATATGGTTGAAAATGTTTTATATGTTTGATTTCATTTTTAAATTCTCATTTGAATATGCTTTACTATTATACTTATGTATTTTAATTTTAGATAGTAGGTTTTTTAAAACATTTATTTTAAAACTTAAGTTTATATTTTTATTAATATTATGTTTTATAATTTTTTGCATTTTATTTTTAACTTTTTGCATTTTTTTGAATTTTTATCTTTATTTTTTAAATTGTGTGCCTTGCCTCAAAAGGCACGCGTCTTGCCTTGCACCTTGCGCCTGAGGCGCAAAATGGCCCTTGCACCTTTTTTGCGCCTTGTGCTTTTAAAACACTGGGTGGGAGATGGTTTGTAGGAGCAAGAGGGAAGGAGGTTTGGGTATTGGGAATATAAGGAGTAGGAATTTGGCACTACTAGGGAAGTGGCTGTGGAGATTTTCTCTAGAGAAGGATAAACTGTGGGTGAAGATAGTGGGCAGCATTCATGGGGTAGCAGACAATGGATGGGACTCTGGGATTGTGGCAAGGACTACAAGAGCAACACCTTGGAAAGCTATTCGAGCTATTTTGCCTTTGTTCTCTCCATGGATCAGGTATGACTTGCACTCAGGTAGCCTCATCAATTTTTAGGAACATATCTGGATTGGGGACTCCTTTAAAAGATCAATTTCCGAGTCTTTTCACTCTTTCCACTCTTAAAAATGAACTAGTCTCCTCCTTCCTTGTTCCTTCTAACTCAACTTCTGGGTTCAGCTGGAACTTGGGCTTTAGAAGGGAAATTAGGGACACAGAATTTGATTACGTCTTATCCTTGCTATCCATTCTTGAAGGGGTTTTTTTAGAGCCTACAAAGATAGACAATAGAATTTGGTCTCTCACCCCCTTTGGTTCTTTCACATGTGCTTCCTTCTTTGAAGCTCTAGCTCAACCTCCTTCTTTGGGTCTGTCTTTCCTTGATAAAGAGGCGTGGTGTCTTCCTATACCCCCTAAGGTTGGGAGTTTCTATTGGGAAGCCTTGGAAAGAGTTAATACATGTGATCTACTTCAAAGAAAAATGCCCAATAGTTGTTTGTGCCCTCATTGGTGTACTCTCTGCAAAGCTGATGGTGAGTCTGAATACCATTTACTGATTTCCTGTCGATTTACTAAAAGCACTTGGAAATGGTGTACTTCTTTATTTGGGTGCAGGTGGGCCCCCCCTTTGAATGTGCAAAGTTTATTCAGGTTCATGCCTAGTTGGCCAACAAAAAGGGCCAAGGCTATGTGGAGATGTATGAGGGCTGCAGTATGCTGGACTGTTTGGGAGGAGAGGAACTCACGGATATTCTCAGAAAAGGAGAGAACCTTGGAAGTAATATTGGAGGTAATCCATATTAGGGTGATACATTGGCTGAAAACTTCGGCCTTGTTTGCAGACTTCTCAGTAGATGAGATGGTAAAAAACTGGAAGGAAATTGCAAAATTAGCCTCAGCTAAGAAGGCATCACTCTCTTGCTGGTGTCCCCCATCTAATGGCTTTCTTAAACTAAATTTTGATGGCAGCAATATGGGTAATCCAGGTCCATCTGGAATAGGGGGAGCAATAAGAGATGAACATGGAAATCTGTTAGCTATGTTTTCAGGACCAATTGGGGAAGGAGA